ATCCCAGTTTGTGCCCGTTGCCCCTTGTCCTGTCCCTGGGCACCACTGGGAAGAGTCTGGCCCCATCCTCTTGCCCCCCACCCTTTAGCTTTTGCTCAGCATCCATGAGATCCCCTCTCAGTCTGCTCTTCTCCAGCTGAACAGCCCCAGGTCCCTCAGCCTTTCCTCAGCAGAGAGATGCTCCAGCCCCTCATCATCTTCACAGTCTCCACTGTCCCCTCTCCAGCAGTTCCCTGTCCTTCTGGAACTGGGGAGCCCAGAACTGGTCCCAGTGCTCCAGCTGGGGCCTCCCCAGGGCAGAGCAGAGGGGGGGATGACCTCCCTCCACCTGCTGGCCACGCTCTTCTTGATGGCCCCCGATTTAATTCCTCCTGGGGATGCACCTCCTCATCTCTTCCTTCCCGAGGGGCTGCACATCCTGCCCCACGTTAGCACCAGGGCCGGGGAGGGGGCAGAGGGAGAAGTGGCTGCTCCCACAGGAGATCCTGCAGCCCCAGGAGCACAGGGGTGTGCGGGGTCTTCTGTGGCACCCTGCCACCACGGGGATGGGGACAGCAGTGGGGTGACCTTCTCCAGGAACAGAGAGATGAGGCCATCCCCACCCACGGTGGTGTCCCCCATCATGGCCACCTTTGGCACATCTGTGGAGGACACCAAGCTTTTCTTCTGGGACACCCCAGACTCCTGCTCCTGGTGTTCCTGCTGCCCGTCACGGCCCCCTTGCCCCCCAGACCCTCTCCTGGGCAGAAGATGGGCTGCACTGTGGGGGCTTTGGTGAATACATCGCCCCATGGACCCTGTAGACCCCTTGTCCTGGCAGGGTGAGGGTGGCTTTGGCCAGGCACAACGATGGGTGAACTCACCACTGGATGTCACTGCCACCCGCCTGGTCACACAGAGCCCGTGGGCACTGCCTGGCACCCATGGTTGGGGGGGGACAAGGAAGATGCTCCCTGGCCACCTTCTGGGCAGCACCAGCCAAAGGGGCTTGGGACCAGCAGGAGAAATGCGTCCCCCCACAAAGGGATGGAGGGGAAGGCAGATCCCAACCTCATCCCAAAGCCATGGATTTGGGGATATTGGGAAGTTTCTGAGGGGAGACCTTCTTGCTCTCTCCAACTCCCTGAAAGGAGGGTGTAGAGAGGTGGGGGTCGGTCTCTTCTCCCAAGTCGCAGGCGACAGGACAAGAGGAAATGGCCTCAAGTTGCCCCAGGGGAGGTTCAGGCTGGATATTAGGAAAAAATTTTTCACTGAAAGGGTTCTCAGCCCTTGGAATGGGCTGCCCAGGGAGGTGGTTGAGGCACCATCCCTGGAGGTGTTCAAAAAACGGGTTGATGAAGTGCTGGGAGGTCTGGTTTAGTGATGATGATGCTTCTTGTTTGTTGTGTGGGTGTCTATTTTTGTCAGTGAGGTTGATGGTTGGAGAAGATTTCTTCCTTGGAGATTTTCAAGACCCGCCTGGATGCTCCTGAGTAACATGCTCTAGCTCTAGGCAATCCTGCTTCAGCAGGGGAGTTGGACTAGATAATCTCTATGGTCCCTTCCAACTCTAAAAAATTCAGTGAAATTCAGTGAAAAGATGATTTTTGAGGTCCCTTCCAACCTAGAAGATTCTGTGATTCTGTTTGTCCCCATGCAACACCTCTTGCAGAAGACCCCCTGCAGTGCCAGCGCCCACAGGATGGATGGGACTGGCAGGAAAGCAGCCAGGACCACCATGGCCCAGCAGAGCAGGGAGCCAGTGGGACTGGGACACCATCTCCCCTCGCTCCCAAACCTCTGCCAACAGCCAGGCAGGAATTCCCGATGTCCCAATGGGGCTTTAAACCCATGGAGGTTCCCTCCTCCCCACGCTGAGCCTCTGCCAGAGCTGCCTGGTGACTCCCCTGCAGCGCTGCACTAATGAGTGCCGGGCTAACGAGCAGCCAGCCCCACATCTGGTTTGTCAGCGAGGCTGTGGGGGGGGAGTGGGGTTTGAATCTCCATCGTGGCTGGAGAGCTGCTCCCCTGTGGGGAACAACCATCGCCGTGCTGGAGATCTGCCACCAGGAGAGGACGGGCTTGGGCTGCAGCTGGCTGCCAGCTGGGAAATGCTGGTTTCTCCCTGGGAAAATGTCCTTTTCCAGCACAAAATTGGCCCGGCTGGGGCTCCAAGGAGCAGGATTTCCTCTGCAGAGAAGGCAATTAGTGAGACAAGTGTGTAAAGATGGAGATGTCAGTGTATCGTCAGAGGAAACACCAGGATCCTCTGGGAGGACATCCCAGGGCTCTGAGCATCCCATAGTTCTGAGCATTCCATGGCTCTGAACATCCCATGGTCCTGAGCATCCCATGGCCCTGAGCATCCCTCATCCCAGAGCTTCACGATACCAAGCTGTGTGGTGTTGTCGATACACCAGAGGGATGGGATGTCATCCAAAAGGACCTGGAGAGGCTGGAGAGGTGGGCCCAGGTGAACCTCATGAGGTTCAACAAGAGCAAGTACAAGGTTCTGCACCTGGGCTGGAACAATCCTCACCATCAGTACAGACTGGGGGGTGAGGGATTGGAAAGCAGCCCTGAGGAAAGGGACTTGGGGGTGCTGGTGGAGGAGAAGCTGGACATGAGCAGGCAGTGAGAACTTGCAGCCCAGAAGGTCAATCCCATCCTGGGCTGCATCAAAAGCTGCGTTGCCAGCAGGTCCAGAGAGGGGATTCTGCCACTTTACTCTGCTCTGGTGAGACCTCACCTGGAGTATTGTGTGCAGGTCTGGAGCCCTCAATAGAAGAAGGACATGGACCTGATGGAGAGGGTCCAGAGGAGGGCCACGAGGATGATCAGGGGGATGGAGCACCTCTGCTCCGAGGACAGGCTGAGGGAGCTGGGGTTGGTCAGCCTGGAGAAGAGGAACCTCCGGGGAGACCTAATAGCAGCCTTCCAGTACCTGAAGGGAGCCTACAGGAAGGCTGGGGAGAGCCTGTTTAGAAAGGCCTGCAGTGACAGGACGAGGGGAAATGGCTTCAAGCTGGAGGGGAACAGATTTAGACTGGAGATGAGGAGAGGGTTCTTCACTGTGAGGGTGGTGGAGCACTGGAACAGGTTGCCCAGGGAGGTGGTTGAGGCCCCATCCCTGGAGATATTCAAGGTGAGGCCCTGGGCAACCTGGTCTAGTTGGGGGTGTCCCTGCTGACTGCGGGGGGGTGGGACTAGATGGCCTTTGGAGGTCCCTTCCGGCCTGGGCAATTCTATGATTCTATGATTCTATGATTCCCTCAGCCATGGGCACCCCTCGGCCCTGAGCATCCCCTGGCCTTGAGCATCCCTCAGCCCTGAGCATCCCACATCCCTGAGCACCACTGCAGCTCCCATGTCTACATCCCCAGTGCTTCTCCCACCACCCACCCCAAGCCAGGGCCAGTGGGATCCCACCAGCTCCCAGGATGGAGCCAGCAGCCCCCAGGAGCTTTCCTTGCTCCACTGCATCCTGCCTGGACATGTGTCCTCGCCATGAGTTCAAAACACTGTCACCTGGGGGGCCCGGGCTGGTGATGGCCCTCCCCCCAAACCACTGCCCTTCTCCTCCTGCCAGGTATCTTCCTCATCCCCTACTTCATCATGCTCTTCATCATGGGGCTGCCCCTCTTCCTGATGGAGCTGAGCCTGGGCCAGTACGGGGCTGCGGGGCCCATCACTGTCTGGAAGTGCTGCCCACTCCTCAAAGGTGGGGTTGGGGGCACGTCCCCTTCCTGTCCCCATGGCCACTGGGGACGGCTGGGCTGTGGGACGGGGTGCGGGGTGGGTATGGGGGCAGGAACAACCCCTTGGTGAGACCCCAAGGCAGGTCTCCTGCCACCTCTCCATCCCCTTGGACTCGGGGCCAGGGGTCTGCAGGGAGCAGGCCTCAGCAGCCCCTCTCCTCGCGCAGGCGTTGGCGTTGCCATGCTCATCGTGGCCTCCCTGGTGTCCCTCTACTACAACGTCATCATCGCCTGGGCTTTCTACTACCTGGGCTCCTCCTTCCAGAGCCCCCTGCCCTGGTCCTGCCATGCCCCCAGGAACGTGGACCTCTGCCAGGTCGGTGTCCCCTGGGCTGGGTCCCCTGTTGGGTGGGATGCTGTGGGGCCAGATGCCACTTGAGGACACAGCAAGTGGGTTCTCTGGAAAAAACTTCACTGGCAGCAGAAAAGGAGGGTCAGGCTGGGGCTGGGGCCAGGGCCAGCAGGGACGTTGGGGATGGTGGCCATGGCAGTGGCCATGGAGATGACCTGGCGGGGCTGTGTGTTGCAGAACACGTCTGGGACAACCAGCTGGGTCAGCGCCAGCGAGGTTTTCTGGAAGTAAGTCCCCGTGTGGCAACGTGGCACGTGTCCCTCTCTCAGCCCATCTTGGGGGGTCCAGTCCCAGCTCCATCTCCCCTGGTCCTGGGGGGCTGGGGCTGAGCCCCCAAAGGCCCTGGTCAGTGATGCCAGAGGCTTTGTGGGGGGCAGAAGGGTGGACAAGGTTGTTTGTTGTGGAGGTGACAAGGGTGCCCCATGTCCCCCTGACCCGTGTCCCCGCAGTGAGCAGGTCCTGGGGGTGACACACAGCTCTGGCCTTGGGGACCCCGGCCCCGTGCAGTGGCCCCTCGCCCTCTGCCTGCTGGCGGCCTGGACCCTCATCTTCCTCTGCATGCTGAAGGGCATCCGCAGCTCTGGCAAGGTGATGGGGGGCTCTGGGGGGCTCTGGGGGGGCTGCCGTGGCGGTGGAGCGGGGCTGAGCCCGGCTGTGCCCTGTGCAGGTGGTGTATTTCACCGCCACCTTCCCCTACCTGGTCATCTTCATCCTCATCATCCGGGGGGCCACGCTGGAGGGCTCCCTCAGCGGCGTCAGCTTCTACCTCTCCTCGGACTGGAGCAGGCTGCAGAGCGCCCAGGTAACCCCGCGCCGGGGTTGGGGTGGGGGATCCCTGATGGGACCCCCCCAGACAGGGTTGGTGGGGTGGGGAGTCCTGCAGCCCCCCCACATCGTTGTCCCCCAGGTGTGGAGCGACGCGGCCTCGCAGATCTTTTACTCCCTGGGCATTGGGTTCGGGGGGCTGCTCTCCATGGCCTCCTACAACAGGTTTGACAACAACGTCATCCGGTGAGTTTGGTGGGGAGTTCAGGGGGCTTGGGGGTCTCGGGGCAGCCCCAGGTTGCAGCCAGGCAATGATGGGGAGGTCCGAGCCCGTGTGGCCCATGGGGATGCCCCCATCTCCATCCTCACCCCATGGGTGTGGGGCTGTGACACCCTCCCTGGCAGGGACACCTTGGTCATCGCCTCTATGATTCTATGATTCTATGATTCCCTCAGCCATGGGCACCCCTCGGCCCTGAGCATCCCCTGGCCTTGAGCATCCCTCAGCCCTGAGCATCCCACATCCCTGAGCACCACTGCAGCTCCCATGTCTACATCCCCAGTGCTTCTCCCACCACCCACCCCAAGCCAGGGCCAGTGGGATCCCACCAGCTCCCAGGATGGAGCCAGCAGCCCCCAGGAGCTTTCCTTGCTCCACTGCATCCTGCCTGGACATGTGTCCTCGCCATGAGTTCAAAACACTGTCACCTGGGGGGCCCGGGCTGGTGATGGCCCTCCCCCCAAACCACTGCCCTTCTCCTCCTGCCAGGTATCTTCCTCATCCCCTACTTCATCATGCTCTTCATCATGGGGCTGCCCCTCTTCCTGATGGAGCTGAGCCTGGGCCAGTACGGGGCTGCGGGGCCCATCACTGTCTGGAAGTGCTGCCCACTCCTCAAAGGTGGGGTTGGGGGCACGTCCCCTTCCTGTCCCCATGGCCACTGGGGACGGCTGGGCTGTGGGACGGGGTGCGGGGTGGGTATGGGGGCAGGAACAACCCCTTGGTGAGACCCCAAGGCAGGTCTCCTGCCACCTCTCCATCCCCTTGGACTCGGGGCCAGGGGTCTGCAGGGAGCAGGCCTCAGCAGCCCCTCTCCTCGCGCAGGCGTTGGCGTTGCCATGCTCATCGTGGCCTCCCTGGTGTCCCTCTACTACAACGTCATCATCGCCTGGGCTTTCTACTACCTGGGCTCCTCCTTCCAGAGCCCCCTGCCCTGGTCCTGCCATGCCCCCAGGAACGTGGACCTCTGCCAGGTCGGTGTCCCCTGGGCTGGGTCCCCTGTTGGGTGGGATGCTGTGGGGCCAGATGCCACTTGAGGACACAGCAAGTGGGTTCTCTGGAAAAAACTTCACTGGCAGCAGAAAAGGAGGGTCAGGCTGGGGCTGGGGCCAGGGCCAGCAGGGACGTTGGGGATGGTGGCCATGGCAGTGGCCATGGAGATGACCTGGCGGGGCTGTGTGTTGCAGAACACGTCTGGGACAACCAGCTGGGTCAGCGCCAGCGAGGTTTTCTGGAAGTAAGTCCCCGTGTGGCAACGTGGCACGTGTCCCTCTCTCAGCCCATCTTGGGGGGTCCAGTCCCAGCTCCATCTCCCCTGGTCCTGGGGGGCTGGGGCTGAGCCCCCAAAGGCCCTGGTCAGTGATGCCAGAGGCTTTGTGGGGGGCAGAAGGGTGGACAAGGTTGTTTGTTGTGGAGGTGACAAGGGTGCCCCATGTCCCCCTGACCCGTGTCCCCGCAGTGAGCAGGTCCTGGGGGTGACACACAGCTCTGGCCTTGGGGACCCCGGCCCCGTGCAGTGGCCCCTCGCCCTCTGCCTGCTGGCGGCCTGGACCCTCATCTTCCTCTGCATGCTGAAGGGCATCCGCAGCTCTGGCAAGGTGATGGGGGGCTCTGGGGGGCTCTGGGGGGGCTGCCGTGGCGGTGGAGCGGGGCTGAGCCCGGCTGTGCCCTGTGCAGGTGGTGTATTTCACCGCCACCTTCCCCTACCTGGTCATCTTCATCCTCATCATCCGGGGGGCCACGCTGGAGGGCTCCCTCAGCGGCGTCAGCTTCTACCTCTCCTCGGACTGGAGCAGGCTGCAGAGCGCCCAGGTAACCCCGCGCTGGAGTTGGGGGTCCCTGATGGGACCCTCAGACAGGGATGGTGGGGTGGTGAGTCCTGCAGCCCCCCCACATCGTTGTCCCCCAGGTGTGGAGCGACGCGGCCTCGCAGATCTTTTACTCCCTGGGCATTGGGTTCGGGGGGCTGCTCTCCATGGCCTCCTACAACAGGTTTGACAACAACGTCATCCGGTGAGTTTGGTGGGGAGTTCAGGGGGCTTGGGGGTCTCGGGGCAGCCCCAGGTTGCAGCCAGGCAATGATGGGGAGGTCCGAGCCCGTGTGGCCCATGGGGATGCCCCCATCTCCATCCTCACCCCATGGGTGTGGGGCTGTGACACCCTCCCTGGCAGGGACACCTTGGTCATCGCCATCGGGAACTGCTGCACCAGCTTCTTCGCCGGCTTCGCCATCTTCTCAGTGCTGGGACACATGGCCTGGAGGAAAAACGTCCCCGTGGGCAGCGTTGTCACCTCAGGTATGGTCTCCAGGAGGGGGAACTCCTGCCCTGCCATGCCAGGGGATGTCCTGGTGCCCTGGGTGGTGGGTCTCACCACGACGTGTCCTTTCACGCTTCCCTCCGTCTCACCCCGCAGGCCCTGGGCTGGCGTTCGTGGCGTACCCTGAAGCCCTCTCCCTCCTGCCCGGCTCCCCTTTCTGGTCCATCCTCTTCTTCCTCATGCTCCTCACGTTGGGAGTGGACACTTTGGTGATTGTCACCCCCAGGCAGCCCCATGTCCTGCCCTTTGCCTGGCCTTGGGGTGCACCGTGATGTGCACGGGCCGGGAGCGTGAGGATGGTGCTGGGGTTGGGGGGGGGGCCCATGGACCCCCCATGTGGGGCTGGCACCCAGGGTGATGGGGCAGGGATGCAGCCACCTCCTGCTGATGGGATGGTGTCTCCACCTGCCCAGGTGTCACAGGGAGGGGGTCAGTGCCCTACAAAGTCCTCTTTGTGAGGACCAGCCCCTGCACCCAGTCCAGGGGAGACAGGGACTGGGATGTCCCCCCCCACTGACACCCCCCATCCCTCAGTTTGGGAACATCGAGGGCATCACCACTGCCATCCTGGATGAGTTCCCAGCCCTGCGCGACTGGAGGAGGAAGATGGTGTTGCTGGGTGTGCTCTGCACCTCCTTCTACCTGCTGGGGCTCCTGCTGGTCACCCAGGTACAGAATCACAGAATCACAGAATCTTCTAGGTTGGAAGGGACCTCAAAGATCATCTTGTCCAACCGTCAACCCAACTGACAAAAATAGACACCCACACAACAAACAAGGAGCATCATCACTAAACCAGACCTCCCAGCACTACATCAACCTGTCTTTTGAACACCTCCAGGGATGGGGCCTCCACCACCTCCCTGGGCAGCCCATTCCAGTGTCTGATGACCCTTTCAGTGAAAAAATGTTTCCTAATATCCAGCCTGAACCTACCCTGAAACGGGGGGTCCTCTGCATCCCCATTCAGCACCTTTGGGTGATGCCAGGGTGGAGGCTGGAGAAATGTTCTCCTTCCCCCTCCGCTTTCTGGCTACCATGTGTGGGCCTTGGCACGGACGGTGTTGGTGGCCCAGGGTGCCCTGCACCCACCCTGCTGCCCCTGGCCGTGGGTGCTGACCCCATCCCTCCCTCCCCACCTCACAGGGTGGCATCTTCTGGTTCACCCTCATTGACACCTACAGCACCGGCTTCGGGCTCATCATCGTCGCCCTCTTCATGTGTCTGGGCATCGCCTTCTGCTACGGTGAGCGGGGCTGGTGGCCCCGGGGCAAGCTGCAGCCAGCCCTGGGGTGGGGATTGGGGTGCAGCCAGCCCTGGGGTGAGGACTGGGGTGCAAACCAGCTCTGGGGTGGGGATTGGGGTGAAGCCAGCCCTGGGGTGGGGATTGGGGTGCAACCAGCTCTGGGGTGGGGATTGGGGTGCGTGCTGACCCCATCCCTCCCTCCCCACCTCACAGGGTGGCATCTTCTGGTTCACCCTCATTGACACCTACAGCACCGGCTTCGGGCTCATCATCGTCGCCCTCTTCATGTGTCTGGGCATCGCCTTCTGCTACGGTGAGTGGGGCTGGTGGCCCTGGGGCAAGCTGCAGCCAGCCCTGGGGTGGGGATTGGGGTGCAGCCAGCCCTGGGGTGAGGACTGGGGTGCAACCGACTCTGGGGTGGGGATTGGGGTGCAGCCAGCCCTGGGGTGCAGTTCTGCCAGCCCCGGAGCACTGCTGCAGGGTGTTTATGGCCTAGGGTAGCCCCTGGCTACCACGCTGCCAAGGCTTGGTGGTCCTGGGGCTCACGGCAAACCGTGGCCAGGCTCTGTGGACAGCTTGGAGCTGGGGTGGGCAGGGAGATACCCCCGTCCTGCTGCCCAGGGACACCTCAGCCCTGTGACGGTGCGAAGCTGGGGTGCAATTTCTCCTGTGCATGGAGGGGACACACAATTTCCTCTCCACCCCCCGCCCCCCAAAGCTTGGTGGATGATCAGCACCCAGCACCACCACCTCCCAGCCCCAGCACGGGGTGTCGTGGGTGCCAGGGACACCAGGGACAGGCAAGGTCCCAGCCATCACCCTCTCCCTCGGTCCCTGCAGGTGTGGACCAGTTCTGCCGGGACATCGTGGACATGATCTGCCGGTGCCCGCCCTGGTGCAGCCACATGCTGGGCTACTTCAAGGTGTGCTGGGCCTTCTTCACCCCCTGCCTGCTGCTGGTGAGCACCCAGCTCCTCTCCCTCCATCTCTCCAACCCCTTCCCAGAGGGGCAACTCTTGCCATGGGCATGGAGAAGGACTGTCCTGGTCCCAATGGCCTCTCTGTGGCTGTGGAGGGCATCCCTCTCAAGGGAGGGTTGAAGGAGGAGGGAGCCAGACTCTTTTCAGTGGTTCCCAGTGAGAGGACGAGGGGCAACGGGCACAAGTTGGAACATAAGAGGTTCCACTCAAATATGAGGAGAAACTTCTTCACAGTGAGGGTGACAGAGCCCTGGGACAGGCTGCCCAGGGAGGTCGTGGAGTCCCCTTCCTTGGAGATTTTCAAGCCCCGCCTGGATGCTCCTGAGTAACATGCTCTGACAAGCTCTGGGTGGTCCTGCTTCAGCAGGGGAGTTGGACTAGATGATCTCTATGGTCCCTTCCAACTCTAAAATTCAGTGAAATTCAGTGAAATTTGGGGTTGCCCCAAGGGTCCTCGTGGTGGCCAGCCCGGCCAAGACCCTCAGGGACAGGCAGTGCCACGGTGTCACATCACTCCCCCCCACCTTGTCTTCCAGTTCACGCTCATCTACACCTTCCTGGAAATGTATGGTGTCCCCCTGCGCTACGGCACCTACGAGTACCCCTCCTGGGGTGTGAGCCTGGGGGTCTGCATGGGCCTCCTCACCTGCCTGCAGATCCCGCTGTGGGCCACCGTGGCCCTGTGCCGCGAGTCGGGGACGCTGAGCGACGTGAGTGTGGGATGGGACACGGGGATGGGGACAGGGTGGGAGAGAGCAGAGATGGAGCCGGGGGGTTGATGCTGACCCTTCCCCAAGAGATGGAGAAGGGGCTGGAGCCGTGGGGCTGGGGCGAGAGGTGGGGTCTGACCCTTCTCAGAGAGGTCTTCTCAGGGTGGTGGTTGAGTCACCGTCCCTGGCTGTGTTTAAGGGACATTTAGATGCAGTGCTGAGGGACATGGTGTAGGGGAGGACTTTGGAGAGTAGGGGAGATGGTTGGACTCGATGATCCCAAGGGTCTCTTCCAACCTCAATGATTCTATGATTCTATGATTCTCATCCCTGTCCTCTGCCCCATGGAGGGGCTCGGGGCAGCCCCTGCTCACCCTTGCCCACCCCCAGCGCTTCCAGAAGGCCACCCAACCCTTGCACTCCTGGAGGACGGCCACCTCCCGGGACGTGGCCGGAGCCGTCGTGGACGTCCCGTTCACCATCACCCTGACCAGCAGCGACTTCAACGTGCTGCCCCACGGCACCAGCGAGGACTGACACCGGCCCCGGGGCCCCATGTCCTCACTCAGAGCCCCCCAGGACCCACCTGGGGACGGGGACACCTTCCCAGGGGCTGGCTCTTGGTGCAGGTGACGTCCCCTTGTGCCGGCGCCGTTGCCAACCACCGAGCCCAGGACATATTTTAACTCTTTTCTCCTAGAACCGTTCTGCCTGATCCAAAGGTGTTTCCAGGGGACCCTCCACCAGCAGGACCCTCTGCCCAGGCCCTGCTCCACCTCTGGGTGGTTGTCACCTCTCGGAGCAGGTTGGGGACGGCCGTGTGTGTCCCTGGCCCCCAACCCAGCGCTCTCCGGGCAGCATCCCTGCCAGCAGCAGCCCCCTCGGGCAGGGGACAAGCCCACCGTGGGGCTGGGAATGGCTTGTGGACCCCCGGGGTGGGCTCCAGGCCCTACTGGCTACTCCCCAGGAGGTGCTGGTGGCCAGCAGTGCCGGGAGGGCTCGTATCGCTGTGGCTGGGCTGGCCCAGCAGCCGAATTGAGCCCCAAGGGAGCAGGTTTGGAATGGCCATGTGTGTCCCTGACCCCCACCCAGCGCTCTCCGGGCAGCATCCCTGCCAGCAGCAGCCCCCTCGGGCAGGGGACAAGCCCACCGTGGGGCTGGGAATGGCTTGCAGACCCCCGGGGTGGGCTCTGGGCCCTGCTGGCTACTCCCCAGGAGGTGCTGGTGGCCAGCAGTGCCGGGAGGGCTCGTATCGCTGTGGCTGGGCTGGCCCAGCAGCTGAATCGAAGCCCCAAGCCCAGGGTAAGTCCCCACTTGCCCACCCTGGGCCGGGACCAGCGTGGTGTGGGCAAGTGGGCCCAGGGCCACCCCAGGCCGGGCTTGGAGCCTCAGGTGGCCACAAGTCCAGGAATGTGTTTGCTTTTGTGGCAATAAAGCTCCGTTTTCCAGAGCTGGGGATGTGCCCAGGAGTGGTGCTGCCTGGGGAGGGGGGGTCAGCCAGCCACCCCCACGCCACAGGGGCCACCACCACCCTGGGCCGAGCTGTGGCTGTTGGGCAGCACGAGTGGGGATGGATCTGTGCCACCACCAGGCCAGGTGACCCTCATCATGGCTGCACCGATGGCCCTGCTGACACGTCGGAGCCCCACGGGACCTGGGTGCTGCTCCCCTGGGACGGGCTGGATCCTGCCACGTCCTCCCAGACAATCCCTGGCAACACCAAGCACAAACCCGGACTGGGCAGGGAACGGCTGGAGAGCAGCCCTGGGGACAAGGATTTGGGGGTCTTGGAGGATGGAAAAGCTGGCCATGGGCCGGCAACCTGGGCTGGCAGCCCAGAAAGCCCCCCACATCCTGGGCTGCATCCCCAGCAGCGTGGCCAGCAAAGCCAGGGGGGGAATCTGCCCCTCTGCTCCCCTCTGGGGAGACACCCCCCACCCAGTGCTGCCTCCAGCTCTGGGGCCACCGAGGGTCCTGGGGGATGGAAAAGCTGGCCATGGGCTGGCAACCTGGGCTGGCAGCCCAGAAAGCCCCCTGCCCCCTGGGCTGCATCCCCAGCAGCGTGGCCAGCAAAGCCAGGGGGGGAATCTGCCCCTCTGCTCCCCTCTGGGGAGACACCCCCCACCCAGTGCTGCCTCCAGCTCTGGGGCCACCAACATCAGAAGGACATGGAGCTGTTGGATGGGGCCAGAGGAGGCCACGGAGATGCTGGGAGGGCTGGAGCCCCTCTGCTGGGAGGGGGGGCTGAGAGAGTTGGGGGG